TATATATTATTATCACACTGGCCGATTCCCACCAAGGCAGGGTGGCCCGAAAAAGAAAAACTTTCACCATCATTCACTCCATCACTGTCTTGCCAGAAGGGTGCTTTACACTACAGTTTTTAAACTGCAACATTAACACCCCTCCTTCAGAGTGCAGGCACTGTACTTCCCATCTCCAGGACTCAAGTCCGGCCTGCCGGTTTCCCTGAATCCCTTCATAAATGTTACTTTGCTCACACTCCAACAGCACGTCAAGTATTAAAAACCATTTGTCTCCATTCACTCCTATCAACACGCTCACGCATGCCTGCTGGAAGTCCAAGCCCCGCGCCACACCTAAACACTCCTTTACCCCCTCCATCCAACCTTTCCTAGGCCGACCCCTACCCCGCCTTCCTTCCACTACAGACTGATACACTCTTGAAGTCACTCTGTTTCGCTCCATTCTCTCTACATGTCCGAACCACTCAACAACCCTTCCTCAGCCCTCTGGACAACAGTTTTGGTAATCCCGCACCTCCTCCTAACTTCCAAACTACGAATTCTCTGCATTATATTCACACCACACATTGCCCTCAGACATGACATCTCCACTGCCTCCAGCCTTATTATTATTATTATTATTATTATTATTATTATTATTATTATTATTATTATTATTATATTATTAGTATTATTATTATTATTATATCATTGTTATTATTATTACTATTATTATTATTATTATTATTAATATTATTACTTATTATTATTATTATTATTATTATTATTATTATTATTATATTATTATTATTATTATTATTATTATTATTATTATTATTATTATTATTATTATTATTATTATTATTATTATTATTATTATTATTTATTATATTATTATTATTATAATCATTATTATTATTAATTACTATTATTATTATTATTATTATTATTATTATTATTATTATTATTATTATTATTATTATTATTATTATTTATATATTATTATTATTATTATTATTTTTATTATTATTATTATATTAGTGGAAAGAACTTGTGTGTGAATCTAAATTGAGAATCAGAATCCTGTCTAAACTCTGCCCTGTCAGACTCTGTGAGAACCTGACAAATATTTCAGCAGTCAGGTGGTGTTAGAGAGAGAGAGAGAGAGAGAGAGAGAGAGAGAGAGAGAGAGAGAGAGAGAGGTTCTGAAAACCACCGTGGGTTCTAAACGACTCGCCAAGAGTTCTGAAACACCCACTGTGGGTTCTGAAAGACACCATGGGTTCTAAAGACCCACCGTGGGTTTCGAAGCACCCACCATGGGTTTTGAATCACTCACCATGGGTTCTGAATCACCCACCATGGGTTCTGAATCACCCACCATGGTTTCTGAATCACCCACCATGGGTTCCGAATCACCCACCATGGGTTCCGAATCACCCACCATGGGTTCTGAATCACCCACCATGGGTTCTGAATCACCCACCAGGGTTCTAAATCACCCCCATGGGTTTGAATCACCCCAGGGGTTCTGAATCACCACCAGGGTTCTGAATCACCCACCAGGGGTTCTAAATCACCACCGGGGTTCTGAATCCCCACCATTGGTTCAAAATCACCCACCTTTGGGAGGGGGTTACCCCACCAGCTCCCCAGTAATACCAACTTAAAGTCGAAATGAAAACCCGAAATTCCCCCAAAAACATGCACAAAACCCCTGATGGGCCATTTAGATCCCGGGTTTAGAAATGTTTTGAAACGCCCCCCAAAAAGAAAAATCTCAGCGGATTTTTCAATTCCCTCTGGGTTTATTTCAAGATTGAACTTGACAGCCGACTGTCATCACGATTAAACTTTAAGACAGCCCGGGGGACTGTGACTATAAGATGGACTGCGCGTGGCCACAGCCTGGTTGGTCAAGCCTCCAAATATCCTGGTCTGGGACCGGGCAGCAGGGGCGTTGACCCCCGAAAACATGTATATATGTATATTATATATATATATATATATATATATATATATATATATATATATATATATATATATATATTTATATATATATATACATATATATATGCAAGGAATTCGCAAGAGCAGGCGAAATATACACAAACACTGATCTCTGGCTGAAGGAGACTCGAACCTACGAACCTTGGAACAAGGTACGCAGTGCTTTACCAATCTACCCACACTGGACCAATACCTTGGAGTCCAGCTTGCGCTAGACTTGGATCCAAGGCAGCCAGCTTTCAGGGAGAAGGCTTACAGCTTTTCATCTCATCCCCTGCATGCATCAGCCTTACTAGAGATATTAACAATGCCCAAAAAGAAAATACTTTCATCATCATTCAACACTTTCACAACACTCACACATTATCACTGTTTTTGCAGAGGTGCTCAGAATACAACAGTCTAGAAGCATATACGTATAAAGATACACAACATATCCCTCCAAACTGCCAATATCCCGAACCCCTCCTTTAAAGTGCAGGCATTGTACTTCCCATTTCCAGGACTCAAGTCCGACTATATGAAAATAACCGGTTTCCCTGAATCCCTTCACTAAATATTACCCTGCTCACACTCCAACAGATCGTCAGGTCCCAAATACCATTCGTCTCCATTCACTCCTATCTAACACGCTCATGCACGCCTGCTGGAAGTCCAAGCCCCTCGCCCACAAAACCTCCCTTACCCGTTCCTTCCAATCTTTTCGAGGACGACCCCTACCCCGCCTTCCTTCTCCTACAGATTTAAATGCTCTCCATGTCATTCTACTTTGATCCATTCTCTCTAAATGACCAATCCACCTCAACAACCTCGCTTCAGCCCTCTGACTAATACTTTTATTAACTCCACACCTTCTCCTAATTTCCACACTCCGAATTTTCTGCATAATATTTACACCACACATTGCTCTTAGACAGGACATCTCCACTGCCTCCAACCTCCTCCTCGATGCAACATTCACAACCCAAGCTTCACACCCATATAAGAGTGTTGGTACTACTATACTTCCATACATTCCCTTCTTTGCCTCCATAGATAACTTTTTTTGACTCCACATATACCTCAACGCACCACTCACCTTTTTTCCTTCATTAATTCTATGATTAACCTCATCCTTCATAAATCCATCCGCCGACACATCAACTCCCAAGTATCTGAAAACATTCACTTCTTCCATACTCCTCCTCCCCAATTTGATATCCAATTTTTCTTTATCTAAATCATTTGATACCCTCATCACCTTACTCTTTTCTATGTTCACTTTAAACTTTCTACCTTTACACACTCCCAAACCCATCCACTAACCTTTGCAATTTTTCTTTAGAATCTCCCATAAGCACAGTATCATCAGCAAAAAGTAACTGTGTCAATTCCCATTTTGTATTTGATTCCCCATAATTTAATCCCACCCCTCTCCCGAACACCCTTGCATTTACTTCCTTTACAACCCCATCTATAAATATATTAAACAACCATGGTGACATTACACATCCCTGTCTAAGACCTACTTTTACCGGGAAGTATTCTCCCTCTCTTCTACACACCCTAACCTGAGCCTCACTATCCTCATAAAAACTCTTTACAGCATTTGGTAACTTACCACCTATTCCATATATATATATATATATATATATATATATATATATATATATATATATATATATATATATATATATATATATATATTTATATATATATATATATAATATATAAGAAGAGGAGGCCAGGAGCTGGGACTCAACTTCCACCCCCCAGCAATTACAACTTCGCGAGTGAAAACTTTCCGCGAGTGCAGTAGGTGAATACAACTTGACGAGTGTAGCTGAGGTAGGTAATTACCCACGAATTTGACTAAGTGCCCGAATTTGCATCATAAGTTTGAAGTTGGTCAACTTTATCTCATCTCCTGAAAACTTGAAGTAGCATTAAGAAAATGTGGATAATATTTATCTGAGTGCCGCATGCGTAAACCCCTGATAGATAATTTATGTCTACTCTGGCCGGCTATTGTATACGGTTGTCTTCAGGCTGACAGACTTCAAGGCCACGATGACCGTCACCGTATATTAGTATACACAACTAATACCTATATTGATGTGGAAAAATCGCGAACAAGCGGTCCAAGATGCAAAACAACCATGAGGGTAGTTGAACGATGGTTCTAGGCCTTTCGTGTTGCAATAAATACATCATCAGCAGCTTGCAATGTTGGAGAAATGAGTTGGAAGTCTGGATAGATCCGTTCAAGGGAACGCCTCTAGCTGGAGTCGTTTCCTTGAACGCTATCTTGACTTCCTAAATATTTCTGCAACAATGCAAGCTTCGGATGCGTTGATTGCAACACGAAAGGCCTAGAGCTCTCATTCAACTCCCCCCATGGTTGCTTTACACTGATATGTGATTACCTTCTCTGCCAATGGGGAAACTTTATTTACAAAAAAATAGTCGAGCTTGGAGAGAAAATGAGAAACTTTAACGTCCAGAGAATATTTTAAATCAATCGCATCCCAAATTCCTGAGGGATTTTCCAGGACAGACATAATTCAGAGTGGACGAGGAGTGAGAAGTTAGTGTTGGCAGTGTTGCAGTCACCAGCAGACTCCTCTTGCTTGCCTCTCTTATCAACACTAATTTAGTATTTGCAAGGGAGAGCAAGTTCCTGCGAGGCTGCACCCACGGGAGCTATCTAATCAAAATTACATCTATTTATGTCAATTTTTTAAGCTTGAGAGCCCTTCCTTTGCTCGTGTTTTTAACACGCCTTCCCTCGTCTTCAGCTTAAGAGTTAACGCTAAAGTTGTAAATTCATGGAGAATAAATCATGCTTATCATCTCCTCTGATAGCAGAAAGGATTTTATGCAGGAGATATGTACGAAAGATGTATTTTACACACTGGGTGTCCTCTCACCCCCACTGCTCTTACTTCCCCTGCATGCTACGCCATCTACCAGGCACTGGGTGGCACTGTAAAGCAGGGTGCCAGTGTAGAGCCCCAGTGTGGCTCTGGTGTCTGGGAAGGGTGGGTGTGTGGCTGCTGCTGCAGTAAGAGTCCCTCTCTGAGAGACTCTGAGTTTACACTGGACCAGCGGATGGTGCCACTCTTGTTCCACCGAGGCTAAATAAGCAGTGAGGAATAGAAACCAGTGATGGCATGGTTAAATTGTTCTTGGTTTATGAAGAGAAGCGTTAATTAATACAAGGAAGAGCGAGGTATAAGTTGAAGATACCTTACAAGTTGATCTGACTACCCAAGACCGTCTACCACACAGTAGTAAGTACAAACAGTCTTCAGTTACACCATACTGTACTATATACGTACACAATACTGTACTATATACGTACACAATACTGTACTATACATGTACACTTGTACTAGACACGTAAGCAATACCGTACTATACACATACACACTACTGTTCCATACACATACACAATATTGTACTATACACGTTGTGAACAGAAGGATTAGAAAAACCCGACAAGTTGATAAATGAGAATATTCTGCAAAATTTAGTTATCATTATTGCAGAATGAAGATATTCAGATGTTGCAAAAGGACCTCATTTATCCGCTATACACATTACACTTCTCATGGCCGATAGAGCTTAGCTCTTTCAGCATTCCTAGAGTTGAACTCTAGAGCCTGATGACTCTAGTAATGCGCAAATTGAAACCATATCAAGAAGCATCTTCATTATTATTATTATTATTATTATTATTATTATTATTATTATTATTAATTATTTTTTTTTTTCTACCATACCGAGAGCCTCCCACCGAGGCAGGGTGACCCAAAAAGAGGAAACACCTGCACCATTATTCGTTCAGTGGCAGCAGATGATAGTGATGGTTGCAGATGACAGTGATGGTGGCAGATGATAGTGATGGTGGCAGATGATAGTGATGGTGGTAGATGATAGTGATGGTGGCAGATGATAGTGATGGTGGTAGATGATAGTGATGGTGGCAGATGATAGTGATGGTGGTAGATGTAGTGATGGTGGCAGATGATAGTGATGGTGGTAGATGATAGTGATGGTGGCAGATGATAGTGATGGTGGTAGATGGTAGTGGGTGGTGGCAGATGATAGTGATGGTGGCAGATGATAGTGATGGTGGTAGATGATAGTGATGGTGGCAGATGATAGTGATGGTGGCAGATGATAGTGATGGTGGTAGATGATAGTGATGGTGGCAGATGATAGTGATGTTGGTAGATGATAGTGATGGTGGACAGATGATAGTGATGGTGGCAGATGATAGTGATGGTGGTAGATGATAGTGATGGTGGCAGATGATAGTGATGGTGGTAGATGATAGTGATGGTTGCAGATGATAGTGATGGTGGCAGATGATAGTGATGGTGGTAGATGATAGTGATGGTGGTAGATGATAGTGATGGTTGCAGATGATAGTGATGGTGGCAGATGATAGTGATGGTTGCAGATGATAGTGATGGTGGCAGATGATAGTGATGGTTGCAGATGATAGTGATGGTGGCAGATGATAGTGATGGTGGTAGATGATAGTGATGGTGGCAGATGATAGTGATGGTGGCAGATGATAGTGATGGTGGCAGATGATAGTGATGGTGGTAGATGATAGTGATGGTGGCAGATGATAGTGATGGTGGTAGATGATAGTGATGGTTGCAGATGACAGTGATGGTGGCAGATGATAGTGATGGTGGCAGATGATAATGATGGTGGTAGATGATAGTGATGGTGGCAGATGATAGTGATGGTGGTAGATGATAGTGATGGTTGCAGATGATAGTGATGGTGGCAGATGATAGTGATGGTGGCAGATGATAGTGATGGTGGTAGATGATAGTGATGGTTGCACATGATAGTGATGGTGGTAGATGATGGTGATGGTGGCAGATGATAGTGATGGTTGTAGATGATAGTGATGGTGGCAGATGATGGTGATGGTGGCAGATGCTAGTGATGGTTGCAGATGATAGTGATGGGTGGCTAGATGATGGTGATGGTTGCAGATGATAGTGATGGTGGCAGATGACAGTGATAGTAGCAGATGATAGTGATGGTGGCAGATGATAGTGATGGTTGCAGATGATGGTGATGGTGGCAGATGCTAGTGATGGTTGCAGATGATAGTGATGGTGGCAGATGATAGTGATGGTTGCAGATGATAGTGATGGTGGCAGATGACAGTGATAGTAGCAGATGATAGTGATGGTGGCAGATGATAGTGATGGTTGCAGATGATAGTGATGGTGGGAGATGATGGTGATAGTAGCAGATGATAGTGATGGTGGCAGATGATAGTGATGGTTGCAGATGATAGTGATGGTTGCAGATGATAGTGATGGTGGCAGATGATAGTGATAGGGGCAGATGATAGTGATGGTGGTAGATGACAATGATAGTAGCAGATGATAGTGATGGTGGCAGATGATAGTGATGGTTGCAGATGATGGTGATGGTGGCAGATGCTAGTGATGGTTGCAGATGATAGTGATGGTGGCAGATGATGGTGATGGTTGCAGATGATAGTGATGGTGGCTGATGACAGTGATAGTAGCAGATGATAGTGATGGTGGCAGATGATAGTGATGGTTGCAGATGATAGTGATGGTGGCAGATGATGGTGATAGTAGCAGATGATAGTGATGGTGGCAGATGACAGTGATGGTTGCAGATGATAGTGATGGTTGCAGATGATAGTGATGGTGGCAGATGATAGTGATAGTGGCAGATGATAGTGATGGTGGCAGATGACAATGATAGTAGCAGATGATAGTGATGGTGGCAGATGATAGTGATGGTTGCAGATGATAGTGATGGTGGCAGATGACAGTGATAGTAACAGATGATAGTGATGGTGGCAGATGATAGTGATGGTTGCATATGATAGTGATGGTAGCGGATGATGGTGATGGCAGCAGATGATAGTGATGGTAGTAGATGATGGTGGCAGATGATAGTGATGGTGGCAGATGATAGTGATGGTTGCAGATGATAATGATGGTGGCAGATGATAGTGATAGTGGCAGATGACAGTGATAGTAGCAGATGATAGTGATGGTGGCAGATGATAGTGATGGTTGCAGATGATAGTGATGGTGGCAGATGACAGTGATAGTAGCAGATGATAGTGATGGTGGCAGATGATAGTGATGGTGGCAGATGATAGTAATTGTGGCAGATGACAGTGATAGTAGCAGATGATAGTGATGGTAGCAGATGATAGTGATGGTTGCAGATGATAGTGATGGTTGCAGATGATAGTGAGGGTGGCAGATGATAGTGATGGTTGCAGATGATAGTGATGGTAGCGGATGATGGTGATGGTAGCAGATGATAGTGATGGTAGTAGATGATGGTGGCAGATGATAGTGATGGTGCAGATGATAGTGATGGTTGCAGATTGAATAATGATGGTGGCAGATGATAGTGATAGTGGCAGATGACAGTGATAGTAGCAGATGATAGTGATGGTGGCAGATGATAGTGATGGTTGCAGATGATAGTGATGGTGGCAGATGACAGTGATAGTAGCAGATGATAGTGATGGTGGCAGATGATAGTGATGGTGGCAGATGATAGTAATTGTGGCAAATGACAGTGATAGTAGCAGATGATAGTGATGGTAGCAGATGATAGTGATGGTTGCAGATGATAGTGATGGTTGCAGATGATAGTGAGGGTGGCAGATGATAGTGATAGTAGCAGATGATAGTGATGGTTGCAGATGATAGCGATGGTGGCAGATGGCAGTGATAGCAGCAGATGATAGTGATGGTAGCAGATGATAGTGATGGTTGCAGATGATAGTGATGGTGGCAGATGATAGTGATGGTTGCAGATGATAGTGATGGTGGCAGATGACAGGAATAGTAGCAGATGATAGTGATGGTGGCAGATGATAGTGATGGTTGCGGATGATAGTGATGGTGGTAGATGATGGTGATGGTTGCAGATGATAATGATGGTTGCAAATGATAGTGATGGTAGCAGATGATGGTGATGGTAGCAGATGATAGTGATGGTAGCAGATGATGGTGGCAGATGATAGTGATGGTAGCAGATGATAGTGATGGTTGCAGATGGTAATGATGGTGACAGATGACGGTGATGGTTGCAAATGATAGTGACGGTAACAGATGATAGTGATGGTTGCAGATGATAGTGATGGTAGCAGATGATAGTGATGGTTGCAGATGGTAATGATGGTGACAGATGACGGTGATGGTTGCAAATGATAGTGATGGTGGCAGATGACAGTGATAGTAGCAGATGATAGTGATGGTGGCAGATGATAGTGATGGTTGCAGATGATAGTGATGGTAGCAGATGATAGTGATGGTAGCAGATGATAGTGATGGTTGCAGATGATAGTGATGGTGGCAGATGATAGTGATGGTTGCAGATGACAGTGATGGTAGCAGGAGATAGTGATGTTGGCAGATGATAGTGATGGTGGCAGATGATAGTGATGGTTGCAGATGATAGTGATGATTGCAGATGATAGTGATGGTGGCAGATGCTAGTGATGGTAGCAGGAGATAGTGATGGTGGCAGATGATAGTGATGGTTTCAGATGATAGTGATGGTGGCAGATGACAGTGATTGTAGCAGATGATGGTGATGGTAGCAGATGATAGTGATGGTAGCAGATGATGGTGATGGTGGCAGATGATAGTGATGGTGGTAGCAGATGATGGTGATGGTGGCAGATGATAGTGATGGTAGCAGATGATAGTGATGTTTGCAGATGATAGTGATGGTGGTAGCAGATGATGGTGATGGTGGCAGATGATAGTGATGGTAGCAGATGATAGTGATGTTTGCAGATGATAGTGATGGTGATAGCAGATGATGGTGATGGTGGCAGATGATAGTGATGGTGGCATATGATAGTGATGGTTGCAGGTGATAGTGATGGTAGCAGATGATGGTGATGGTGGCAGATGAAAGTGGTGGTAGCAGATGATGGTGATGGTGGCAGATGATAGTGATGGTGGTAGCAGATGATGGTGATGGTGGCAGATGATAGTGATGGTGGTAGCAGATGATAGTGATGGTAGTAGCAGATGATAGTGATGGTAGCAGATGATGGTGATGGTAGCAGATGATAGTGATGGTGGTAGCAGATGATGGTAATGGTGGCAGATGACAGTGATGGTAACAGATGATAGTGATGGTTGCAGATGATAGTGATGGTAGCAGATGATAGTGATGGTGGCAGATGATAGTGATGGTGGTAGCAGATGATGGTGATGGTGGCAGATGATAGTGATGGTGG